ACCACGAAAAATTATAGAATTATTCAAAACTTTTACAAAGATTTGAGAGCAAATCTGTACATGAAGGAAGAAAGTGCAAAATAAAGAACTCAAGTATGCGCCTTAAACTATTGAATAAACCAACAAAAGACCCAATAAGAATTTTGCAAACTGATTACGCAACTCCCTTGTCATTTAAAATTCATTCTCAAAGCTCAAGCCCGCCACCGAAAGACCATCATGTTTATTCACTCAGCGTGCAGAAAATCACGTTATTAACAATGAAAAGTAAATTAATATAACCTCAAAGATGCCAAATCTGAAATACTTTACTATTATTATTGCCAACAGTAATATTTAAAAACTGTCTAACGCTGACAGAAAGTAAAGAGAAGTTAAAATTTAGAGTTCAGAAGCAAAGCAGAAAACCTCTTGTACCAGGGATCAAGCGGAAGAAAATAAACGATGAAACTGAAGACCGGAGCCTCAGACGAACTTGGGAATATGTTCACTTCCTTTAACGACCTTAACTGATTAGTAGGTCCCGGGCGGTGGGTTGACGCACTCGCTTGGCATTTTTCAAGGGGTGGAAGAGGCTCCTTGCCGCTAAGTGGGCGGGGCCGTATATCCTCGTGGGCCGCCGTGCCGCCGGGGGAAGCGAGCGCGGGCGCTGGCGCATTTTTCGTACGAGGGCGCCAAGTGGGCGTAATGCATGGCGCCGCTTTTTCCTCTCCGATGAGGCGCCGGGGGCGGGCGAGGGGGCGCCCAACGCCGCCTGCCGCCTGGCCGCGCAAAGGAGGAACTCGCGTGGAGAGCGCACACGCCCACTCCTGTCGCGGGGTGGCGGTCGGAGGACGATGGACAAGGTTCTCGGTGGAAACACTATATTTTTAATATACCTTCCTAATCTCAAAAGGATAAGTGTTTTATGCTTGTACGATTGTTGTTGAACTTAAGTCTAGATGGTTTACTAATTACTTACTTTCATTATAATGTTTAGGTTTAACATATTTTCCCTTAAAAGATATCCTTCTCTCTCTCTCTCTCTCTCTCTCTCTCTCTCTCTCTCTCTCTCTCTTCTCTTCTCTCTCTCTCCTCCTCCTCTTTCTCACTCTCTTCTTTTTCTTTCTCTGTTCTCTCTCTCTTCTCTTCTTATCTCTCTTTCTCTCTATCTCCTCTTTTCTCTCCTTTTTCTCTATCTCCTCTTTCTGTCTCTATTATCTCTTTCGGTCCTCTCTCCCTTTCCGTCCTCCCTCACTCTTCCACTCTCTCCCACTTCCTCTGTTTTCTCAATCCCTCTCATTTCCTATCAATCTTTTTCTTTCTCTGTGGCCTTCCTACCACCATTAATTTCTTTAATAGCCATAGATGAATCTCAAAGCCTGTCAACTTGGGCTTTTCTCAATACCAATTCCACACACACTGATCACCTCGCGCTTTAAAGCACCGTAGCGGTTTAAGTAAGTAGCTGTAATAAATACGAATCATTCCACACCTACTGCGTATGTAATCACGAACCATGAACGCTGCAACCATGAACTCTGAAAATATTCAAGGAAAAATCAGTTGATAACTAATCTACTTTTCTTGGCATTAAGATTACGAAATGTATCTACCAGATGGTGTGCTACTAAAAAAAGGAGGAAAAAATAATTCAACAGGAGACGAAGAAAATATTTCGAAAAAGAGCAGAAGTATGAAAACCGAAGAAAATGAGAAAAACGATCAGAAAAATGTGAAAAAGAAGAATAGAAAACGAGAATTAAGAAAGAGAAGAAAAGAAAAATTAAGAAGAAAGGGAGAATAAAGAAAAAGGCGAATAAAGAAAAACGAAAAGGAGAATAAAGAAGAAGAAAAGGAAATTAAGGAAGGAAAGAAAAAGAAAGAAATTGAAGAAGAAGAAGAAGAAGAAGAAGAAGACAAATAAAAATTAAATAAAACTGAAGAAGAAAAGGAGATTAAAGAAGGAAAGTAGAAGAAAGAATTTCAAGAAGAAGAAGAAGAAGAAGAAGAAGAAGAAACGGAGATCAACGAAGAAAAAAGGAGAAGAAAGATGTTGAAGACCAAGAAGAAAAGGAAACTAAAGGCTAAGACGAAAAGGACGTTAAAGGCCAGGAGGAGAAAAAAGAAGAAGAAGCGGCTGTGAATGTCCAGCCACCTTGGAGGGCCTGGGGAGCGGCCAGTAGGCGCTGCGCTGAAGAGAGGGGCGTGGCGGGGGCGGGGCGGCTCGTTAGCGCATGCCAACTGGCACAATGAGGTTAGCGCGCGCTCATCCGGGCCGGCGCCGGCGGAAGCGCCTCTCCATAACGCTTTCCTGCCGCCCCCGCCCCGCACTCTTTACCAACACGGTCAACTGCCAACGGAGCTCATGAGGATTGCAGCCTCCAGAACTGGAATGCGAAGAACGGAAGACATATTCGAGTTAGCGAGATTTTCGACGTAACGAGGTTTAAGTTGGCGCACTCAATATATATGACGAAGATGAAGAGAATGAAGAAAATTAAAAATGTAGAGAATTTTAGTTCCTGAGATCCAATTTTGGGCGACCTAATGCATAACACCCAAGAACTCTACTTAGTAAATGTGTTTATTCTATGAACGCAAAATGTAGTACAAACTGTATGTGTGTATGAAGACAAAAAACTGCATTAAGTGACCAGAGGGAAAGTAATTTAAGCATTTGCACTAAACGGATGAAGGGAAACTACCGAAGAGAAACGAAGAAAAATTGAATAACAGTTATCTGCCGCGATTCAATCGGTAGAAATGACACGTTTCAAATACATATCAAAAATTAACGGAATTCTTCTCATCAAGATAACCTTCAATATTCCAGTGGTCTAGTGACGTCCACCGCCCAAAGACTAGATGGATGGACATCATACATGGGAACACGTGCGAACCCATCACAAGTAATTACAACGGTGATGAATATTCAAACAGTAATCGAATCTTTGAGTATATTCCAGTGGCCTACACTGACGTTCAAAGCCCAAGAACCAGATACATGACCATGTTTCATCGGAATGTGCCGCGAGTCTATCAAAAGAATAACCACGACGCTCATTCCACAAAGATCCAGTGAATTTCTTCGATCGCTTCGACGTGGCAGAGGCGGAACCCGCGGTCTGCGAGGGCTGCTCGGCGGCGTCTGCAGCCCGTCCCGTCGTGAGCTCCGCCGCCGCCGCCCGCCGCCCCCGCTGGGGACGCGAATCGAATTAAATGCCTGCGGAGGAGGGGGGAGGAAGAGGGCGCTTAAAACGCAAACTTTGCTGCGTCGAGGGGCGGGCGAGGGGCGGGCGCCGAGGGCGGCGTCATGCGGGAGAGATCCGCTGCCCCGCCTCGCTCGGCGGAAACTGGATTTGCTCAGATCTCTTAGGGATTCCGGCGACCCTTCCCCCAGGGGCCTTTGTTGTGGGATTTCCAGAGAGTTACAACACCAATATTCATTTCTTAATATGCGGGTGATGTACGGCGATGTGCAATCTCCGTGCGATACCTATCGTTCTTTATCTGTAGATTTGTTAACTTAATTACAAATATTCGTCAAAATCATTGTGCTGGTTTCTTAACACTGAATTTCAAAGTTTCTGTTCTGAAATTGGAATTTCGTTAATAACAGGAGGCTGAAGCAATAATTATGCGAAAACAAAAAATTTGCTACATTGCAAAACGAATACCTCCAAACCATTCTCCTTAGATATCATGTTGTTGAATTTAACAGTTACAAGACCAATATACAAATATTTCTTAAAATGTACATTGCACGGGGTGGTATATAATCTGATTGCGATTGCTATCATTTCTTATCTGTAAATTTATCAATTCATTAGCAATTAACAGATTACGTAATAAGATATTCCAATGTTATCTTCTGATATTGTGAATTCATTCACAACCTCAGATAAAAACAAAATAATGCCAACCAAAAAACTGATTTTAAAACGATTAGACGTATTACACATGTCGTATGAAACGGCTAAAAACGTCTAGTTTCTTGCATTGCAATTGCACATTGCAATAAAGTATGCCTAAAAGTCTCAAGAAAAATGGTCGAAACTCTAGTTAGTCCTAATATTTTGTACTGCAATTAAAAAAGGTTTTCAGCCATTGCGATCCATGTTTTTCAACAATATGCAGATAAAAATTACAAGAAAGTAGTGCACTGTCTTTCGCTATCATAAACGTCTCCACTCCGTTTTGCTGCTACCTTATCTCCTTTTTCTTAACAATAGTGATTGAAACACAAGACGATCACAATGGAAACGTTTCCCAAGCTTAAACATCCATTAATTTAAAAACCAACTTCCCAACACTATAATGACTAAAACAACATCATTAATTGTGAATGCAACAGGTGACTTGCACTCATAGTTAATGGTATATGCCTTACGAAACTAATGCCATTCCTTTTCCCCGTTGAATGTACCCAATATTCTAGACAACAGACTGTACTACAGGAGGACATCTCCACCGCTACAAGATGGCTTCATTTTGTTGTTCAAATTGCACGTCTTTTGACGCGTCATTATATTTCCCATATATGGTTACATTTGTTATCAATATATTGATACATTTAGGTACCAATAAATCAGAATATCGATATATCGGAAAATCTGATTACCGATATCGGAAAATTAATATGCTGATATATCAGTACATCGATTTGTGATATACTGAAAAATCAAAATACTGATATATCAGGAATTGATTAGTAGATATATCGGTATATTAATAAACAGATATATCGGAGTATTGATAAACTGGATCAATACATTGAAGTATTGACGTCGGAATATTAATAAATCGATATATCAGCATTCCCATATTGCGATATCGACATAACGATGTAACAAATAATGGATATATGGATTTTTTTTAAAAAAATGTTGCCATCTGCACGTTGACGGACACTGACGCTGACGCGGACCGCTGGCCCGACCTGCGCGCGCGCCCTGGCCGCCGGGCCCGGCCCTCGCCGCCCGCTAACTGTAGTTGCGCTGTGTTGGTCGCCGTAACAGGTCACAGTGGTGTGAACCAGCTAGGGGGGGTGTTCGTCAGCGGCCGACCCCTGCCGGATTCAACGCGGCAGAAAATAGTCGAACTGGCGCACTCCGGCGCCAGGCCCTGCGACATTTCGCGCATTCTGCAGGTTTCCAATGGCTGTGTGTCCAAAATTTTAGGCAGGTAAGAAGACCTAGCGGCTCCACGTCGTCTGAAGCACGCCATGCCACCTCTTTGCCTCTCGCAGCTGTAGAAGGGTAGAGTTCTACATTGTAGCACCACTCCGCAGGACGGTGAGAACTCACGGCTGCCGCTGCCGCGTTGTTGGGAGCCGTTCCCTTCTTCCTCACAATGGCCCCTTTATTCTACATTACTCACTGAGAAGATAAGGCATCCTATTCGCCATCTTATTACATTCTGCCACCGCGCAACATCAGTCCAATTGTAGAATAAAGTTTCTATTTTTATCTGTCTGTAGAGTAAAGTATCTATCGTTGAGCTGATACTGAAAAGCACAATGTATTCGTATGTCCAATTTTCCTTCTATATAGTGCCTACGAACTCATCTGTAATGTGCGTAGGGCGTACGGAGAGAGATACATACATTTGCTTATGTTCTGATAAGTAAATTTCTCGGTTCTTGCTTTCGATGCCACAACACAAATTTAGACAACTGTGACCATATTTCACGTTGTAGTTGAGTAATTTCATCGGTCAGTTTTGAGGCACTTTATAAAATAGGTATGCAGTATGCCCAGGTTTCGTATACATTAAAATTATATTCAAAGCTAAACATTCAGGTCCTAGATTGCCTGATGAGTAGATTTATTTCTCGATTCTTGCACTGATTTCTCGAAAATTGGCTTAGAAAAGCATGGTTAAATTTTTACATCTATGTACCGAAAACAATTTTATTTGTGAAAGTAAATACTTTTTTTAGCCAATAAAATAATGCCCTATTCCTTTTCGTAAAATTATACTTATTCTGAGGTGTTCTGTCAACAAAAGTAGGATCGTAAAAATTATAATGACTCATCATTAAGATGATCATCATATCATTAAGAAAAATTAAATAATGACTCATCTGGAAATATTTTTAGTAATACTTTTCACAATATGTTTGAGCATCTTTCAAAAAGTTATCTTAAATGAAGGTAATTATGTGCACATAAAAATGTAAAACCCAATAATGTGATCTTTTTCCCGAACATATTCGTCAGGAAAAGAACTTTCCGATTGTAGTCAAAACAATCACAAACGAAAACTTTTTTAACTCGCATCGAATTGCAATATGAAACTCCACCTATAGTTAAAGGAACAGGATGCCTAGAAACTCAGTGTTGTAACTAAACAGACGCTGCCTAGTATCTGTGAAAGTGTCTTTCGGTCCTTGACACTTTAAGGTCAGAAAAACCGCTATGAAAAGGAAAAAAAAATAAAAATAAAGGAACGCTTCACTCAAAATTCTTTAGCGAGGAGGTCTCGCGATCTCCACACCTCGCAGCCGTGAGATTCTCACCGGACCCGCCCTCCCCTGAACGCTGGAAAGTATAACCTCCACCCCCGGCCCTTCAGTTGCAGCTTCCAAATTCATTGCAGACGGAGAGAGGTTTCCACGTTTGCCCCTTACAATAATTTATTTTCTCTTTCCAAGGCAGAAGAGTTGTTTTTTTCTCGTGGGTATACTTTTCAGTGATTCAGGAAATCAGAACTAACTGATGACTTTTCCTATTTGCAGTCCTTTGAGCTTCAACTTTCATGGCTCTATGTGCTAACGATATAGAACGCCCCGTTCGTCCACGAAGCCTCCGTAATGCCCTTAGAGGTTGGAGGTGGCCATTCGTTCGTCAATGAGTTGTTCTTGTCATAGTGTAAATAATAAAAATTCATGTCATCTTCCTCAAAGTTTTGATTCAATTGATTAGCTGCATCTGATAAATTTGTCGCCACCACTAGAGATGTCGCGCGGAAGTCAAGGCGTTGTAGGCGATAGATTCGAAGCTCTTCGACAGTTGGCACGTCCTTACTAGTGTTGCCAACGTTTCGATCGTCGTACCGCGACCTTCTTCTGGGCTTAGCATTAGCACGCAGTCCGATGACCAAAACGTTGACAACACTGCACGGAAACGTATAGACCATATTGCCGACTATTCGGTAGCCATCTGTTACCTTCTTCATGGCTAATGTATTATCGTCATATAGAATGGTGATATAAACTTTGGCCACGTTGCGTAGGACTTTGTTAAAACAGGACGACGACAAAGATTCCGGTCGCGGAGTAGGAGTAGTGATCGAATTCTTGACTTCCACGTGGAAAACCTTATGCTGGCGGCTAATCCAACGAAAGCAACTAATAGATAAAATAAAAGCCTTGGGGTGACCTTGAGGAGCGTGCGGGCGGAGGTGGACGCTTCGTGGACGCGCGCGGGCTGGCCCGCGCAGCGCGAGCGGCGCGTAGCGTAGAAAGACTACTTGTAGCATAGCTCTTCCGTAGCTTCTCTCCTCGGGACACGGTAAGTGAACTTTCTCTACTTTTGCTCTCCTTTCCTGTAGATCACTCTCTGCCCCACACTGTGTACACTGTCGCGTTGGGAGCATCAAGCACATCACAACGAGGGCAGGCACGGGGTTATGCGTTGAGCAAATGAGCTGGAGATTGAGGCACCAAATATCAGCCCAAATGGTGCCAGCGGCTTCCTTATTCAAATCAACAGGGGTTACGGTATAGCACAAGGGTAATGAGTATGCTCATTTGTAAAAGGTGTATCAATTATTGCATTAGCTTCCGTTTTAATCATTTGTAAAAGGTTTGAGATTTTCAATCGTTTCTAGTCATTTGAAATGAGCCAAGCTTGCTAATGTTCTACTTCGAACATCACGCGTTTTTCAACAATGAAGAGACAAGAGTTGACCTAAGTAGTTTACAATTCCATGTTAGTTACGGATGGAATAATAAGCCTCGTTGAAACCAATGGAGCAGTGTAATGTGCAGCGTTACCAATGTGCTTAGCTGAAACGTATGGTCTCAAAGTAGATGAAAATGTCTTCGTGGTTTCAGTTCAATATTTTAAATTGTCAAAGTCAGTTTGGAGAGAGTTGTATAAAATCTCATTACTTAAATAAAGGCTCATATCCATTTAAAATTGTAGTGTTTGTAATCAATAATGAGCACGTGGTCCCTTAAATACGGTGCAGTTGACTCATTCCCCATGCTCAACTAATACTTCTCATCTAAGGGTCATTACATTGACGAACAATTGCGATACCTACAAATAACTACTAAAAATATATTTGCAGTGTTCGAATTATGTTCAAATTTTCACTTTTAATGGATTCCGACTACGTAATTACCTAGATGAAAAATAGTTTTTTTAATATACAGTTTTGATATCTGGTAGCATCCGTAAAAGTCGACAGGCAATAAACTCATGCAATTCGAATTGCATAATGTATGCAACTGACTAGGTAATGAATGAATAAAATATACTCCTTCAATTTTCAGAGTCCAGATTATCCAGACACTGTGGACATTCCTCATTTGATGGCATTTGATCGCAGAGGATCAACTCACCCCTTCTCCAAATTCAAAGAAAAAGCTCTTCTACATAATGAATAACATTACATTTGTGACTAATATCGTCCACAGATTGACCTAAATGAGAGACAGCTGTTTGAATACGCAATCGCAACAGGCGCATCGCGTCTGCAGGCACTTGGCAACTGCTGCACTCACTCCATTGGCGCCTGCAAAAGCAATTAATTGTTGCGAACTCCGTCCTCCAGCCTCTCGTGGCTGCCGCCTCTACCTGTAGCCCTTTCGAGGGATGGGGAGGGGGTGAGGTGGGAAGGGGAAGAGAGTGGAGTGGAGAGGGAGAGGCGAGTGGCGCGCTGCTGCTCCTCAACTTGCGTGGGTCTCCGGAGCAGCAACGATCGAAGCACGAGCAGCTCTTGTGCGAGACTGTACCTCTGTGTTTGGTAACTACGTCATAACTTAGGCCTTTATATATTCGTCTTCCCCTCTGCCAAGTGCTCTTGTTCCTCCATGCCTCTTCCCTCTCCCTCGCTCTCCCTCACTCTCCGAAGAGTTCCCCAACTTTTTCTTCTTCCTCTCTTCCCCCCTCCCTCCCTGCCCCCTCAAAAAACTCGATGAGGTGGAAAACGTGGCCGCCATATAGTGGATTCTTTTGAAGTTATTCGCTCCTCTCTTGTTCGCCTCGAGCTCGCTCTTCCTCCTGCAGCTCCGCCTCCTCCTCCTCCTCAAGATATGAACACACGCTTTTTGGGCCTTTTTTGAAATATTTGCTAAGTTTCGCAGTTGGCTATCTCTTCCGCAAGATATGCGCTGAATACAAGAGAGCGCTAAGACGCTCCGCTCGGGGAACTTCCGGTCCCCTCCGCGTAAGTCGCCACTTCCGGTGGCGCCGGGTGCCGCCCCCGCCGCGCCCCACCCCGCGCTGACATCGTTGTGGTGTACTTGTGCCTCCGCAGAATAAACACGACGGAATAGATACTGCCTGTTTCCTTTCTTTCCACTGTGTACCTACCTCTGTAACTGATGAATTATTGAATATTAAATTTTGTAGTGAATGCATGATTTAAAAATAACGTGTAATGTTTTAGAAGTGAACTTGCTACATACACACTGCCTTCCGGAATTGGGTGAAAATCTTTAAGTTTTATAATTCGCTAAACGACATATTGGAGGAAATGCGTTAGCCCATCTTCTGAATAGATGCAATCATCACAATAAGATATTCTGCTCGATTGTGATTGAAAATACTCATACATAATTTAGCACACAATTTTCATTAACTACTACTAAAGGTTTGAAACATTTGTACCTGGTTGCAAACTACTTTTGGCCCAATATACATATTTGCACAGTGAAATGTGAAAAACAAAGAAAACATCAGTCAGATGAAAAAGATTATTCCTCTTTTCTTCCTGCATTGCACTTAATCTACATGGTAAATTCTATATTTATTCACAATTTATACATTTAATGACCATTATCAAACTGTGACATGAGCAGAAGAACAATAATATCTTCTAGATGTTCCGATTGGTCGTGCAAAGCCAGGAAGTTCCTACAGTATCTCTGATGCAATTATCCGTCAACACATTTCTGAAGAAAACTATTACAGAAAAATACTAGTAGCACATCTTATAAACTCGCTTCTCTGAAGAGTTCCTACGAAACTCAAAGAAGCATAACTGTGGGGAGAGAGGACTCCATTTTTAGAGTCCATGCATATTACGCATAAAACAGATTCAGAAATATCTCATAGATATATCAGACTTGCTGACTCTTGAGATAATGTCATACGCGTTTACACAGAGATACATCTCCCGCTATTTGTAAACACTGTTGTCAGGATTCATCTGGTAGGCTGAAAGCGTAAGCTTTCGCGGAGGCATCTTCTCGGCAGACTGGGAGAAACTGCGTCGTAGGCATAGATGCCACCGCTTTGGCCATCATTCTGCGACCTTCCTCAGGGCGAAATTTTTTAAAAGTCGTTTTCCAAGGAAAACGCTTATCGCCCTGAGGAAGGACGCAGAATGACAGTCGAACCGGTATCTCTATCTGGGACCCGAAGTCTCCCAGACAGCCAAGTTTATATACCGACCTGGTAGGTCTTCCCATACAGCGTGCGTGAGCAAGCGTGTTCTAACGAGAAAATCTTCATCGTCTAAATGTACCCTGGAAACACATTAATTGCTGGTTATTGCACGGCGCACTTTCAGAGGGCCATGAAAACTTCCGTAAGGGTCAAGTAAGAGGGAGAGCGCCCGAAAAGGCATTCAGGACTAACGTAAACACTACAAGCATGCCTCAAATTTTGTCGAACACGTTTAGTCAAATAAACACTTCTCTCGCAAATCATTTAAGACTATGTTTGAAATCCTTCCCCTTGGGGCATCGGATGGATGCTAGGAATGTCTCGAGTGCGTGAGCGTAAGTTAAACACACTGCAGTAAGGCAGTAAGAATCTCGCTACAACGATAGGCACAATATATATCAAGAGAACTTCCATCACACATCACGTTTAATGACGTTAAAGGAGCCAATGGAAATCATTCTTCCATGAGTACAAGATAGAGGTTAGGAGAACCCCAGAGTGGATGAGTGAAAATATTCAGGATAGATAGGCATAGCAAGCTTGTCGTAGTATCGATAGTTTGACACGTGCACTCAAAGACATTCATACCTCGCCAATCATTTCAAGGTCTTTAAAAGAGCCCTTTGTTCAATAAAAATAAGATGGAATCTAGGAGAAGCTTAATTAATCATACGTGATCATGAGTAAAACACACTCGGTTTAGTCAGGGATACTAAGCACCTCTTTACGATAGGCTTGAACACGTTTAGTCATCAAGACATTTACCTCGCAAGTCACTTGTAACACTTTTAAAAGAACCTCTGGTCGCAGAGGCATGGGGTAGACGTTAGGATAGCCTCGAGTGCGCGTGTATGAGCATAATAGTCAGGGATAGCAATCATCTCGCTATGATAGGCTTCAACATGTTTAGTTATCAAGACACTTCCCTCGCCAGTAACTTCTAATATCTTTGAATGACTCTCCGGCCCGAGGAGCGAGAATTGAAGCTAGGAGGATCTGGAATGTGCGTGTGATAGACAGGATAGTCAATAATAGAAAGCATCTCGCTACGATAGACTCGAACACCTTTACTCAGCAAGACACTTTAACCGGAAGTCACTTGCAATAGCTCTGAAAGAGTCTCTGGTCGTAGAGGCGTAGGGTAGAAGCTAGGAAAGCCTGAACTGTACGTGTGTGAGCATGATAGATATAGTAAGTATCTCGCTCTGATAGATTTGAACACGTTTACCCAGTAAAACACTTCGCTAGCAAGACACTTGTAGTTTCTCTGAAAGAGCCTCTATTCGGAGGAGTGTAGTATAGAAGCCGGGAGGACCTCGAGTGTGTGTGTGTGTGTGTGTGTGTGTGTGTGTGTGTGTGCGTGTGTGCGTGCGCGCGCGCGCGTATGAGTATGATAGTAGTCATGGATAGAAAGCATCTCGTTACAGTAGGCTTGAACACGTTTATATATCAAATCACTTCCCTCACAAGTCACTTCGCATAACTTTAAACGAGCCAGGGATAGTAAGCATCTCGCTAAGATAGGCTTGAACACATTTAGTCATCGCGACACTTCCCTCGCAAGTCACTTGTAAGGTGTTTGAAAAAGCATCTGGCCGGAGGGGCGTAGCCTGGAAGCCAGCACCTGCTGCTCGAGCGTGCGTGCGTACGTGCGTGCGTGCGTGCGTGCGCGAGCGAGCGTGCGCGTGAGCGTGTGCGTGCGCGGGGGACGGCTGACGCGCGCGCTGCGCAGGTACTACGAGACGGGGTCCATCCGGCCGAGGGCCATCGGCGGCTCCAAGCCGCGAGTCGCCACCGCTGAGGTGGTCAGCAAGATCTCGCAGTACAAGCGCGAGTGCCCGTCCATCTTCGCCTGGGAGATCCGCGACCGGCTGCTGCAGGAGGGCGTCTGCACCAACGACAACATCCCCAGCGTGAGTACACTCTCTCTCTCTCTCTCTCTCCCTCTCTCTCTCTCTCTCTCGTTTCTTTCTCTCGTTTCTTTCTCTCGTTTCTTTCTCTCGTTTCTTTCTCTCGTTTCTTTCTCTCTCTCGTTTTTCTCTCTCTCGTTTTTCTCTCTCTCGTTTCTCTCTCTCTCGTTTCTTTCTCTCTCTCGTTTTTCTCTCTCTCGTTTCTCTCTCTCTCGTTTCTCTCTCTCGTTTCTCTCTCTCGTTCTTTTCTCTTTCTCTCGTTCTTCTCTCTCTCTCTCTCTGCCTTTTTCCATTTTCTTGGATTTTACTTTCTCGCCTTACGAATTCTTTGTAAGATGAGAACGTCATGTAATCCTGTGCCAGAAAACGCCGAAATTTCGTCTGAAAAAAACATTATTTTTTCTTCTTATTGTCTCAGTAGACAAATGTTTGGTCATTTTTTAGCGATGCTTGTGATTAGTCACTGGTACATCATTCGACAAACAAAATTGACTTGAAATGGTTTATAATGACCTTCATTTGACATCAGCGGACGTCAAATGTGACAATATTAGTGTCTTAACAAAATATGTTATGCTCTATAAATCATTTACGTATTAAAAAAATTGAGAATGGTTCTTCAAGTTTCTGGAATCTTAATCACATCAGCTCTGAGAAGAGAAGAAAAACTCATGTTGGAGAAAAAACCATTATTAAAACAGTAATATAAACCCCCAAAAAGATAACGTATTATTCTAATAAAAAGGCCATCAATAGTAATTATATACGTAATAATAATAATAATAACAATAATTAAGGTGTGAATACAACTAACGTTAACCTATTACTTGACAGTCAACACAGGTGTCGATGGCTTAAAAAAGCAATTTATTCTTCATTTATTTATGTTACTGCTACGTTTGGCTAGAACCGCCCTATTTCTCGGGCAAGGAAGTCCACATATCCACACCATACATCGACATCGATAACACGATATAATCTATTAATCAGTATTGACACCCATTCGAAACACAATTTAGAAAACTAAGAGTTTCGAAAGCATTGCAACGTCCCCACCCAGAACGCGCCCGCCGCCCTCGCGTGCTGTCGCCGGATCAGTAGGGAGCTCCCCACACAGGCCCCGCTGCAGCGCTGCACAGCGGCGCAAGAAGAGGTTATTAGCAGCGAGCTTCTTGCCCCAGCCTCGCCACAGCACCTCATATATCAGGCGCTAACAGGCAGGGCCCGCTTCTTGCTGCCTGTCGCCCCCGCACCCGCTCCTCGTTCGTCTCGCTAGGGCCGACGCGGCGCGGCGACACGGCGCGATGCTGTTCCACGAGCTGATGGAACACTTTTAGATTGCAAAAAAGAATCGTATGAATAATAACCAAAATTCCAATCACGTGATTCTTGTAAGCCTCTCTTTATTAATCTAGGATTTGTACCATTACCTAGTCTCTTGGTTCACGAATCATAATTTTTTGTCAAACGACTTATTCAATGGTAGGAATATATTTTCTGGAAACGCCTATGTCTATAACTATAACACTCGCCATGGTATTCATATTCATCTCATAAGGAGTCTGCATCAATTGCTCACCATAAAAAAAAATCACATAGAACATATCAACATTATATTACAATACATTGTGGCAGAGTACAGTATTAAAGTTTCTCAGCAAAAGAGAAATTCATTCACGTAAAAAATCGAGTTTCGACGATTCGTGATGTCAATGCAATCACGTCTTCGGGTGAATGTTCTGAAAGATTAAAATAAACTTATTATAATAATTGAAATAATAGATTATAATAAATTACAGAGGAAAAATAGAACAGTTCGAGGCAAAAAAATATTTTCACACATCAACGTTCCCGCTACAGAAAGATTTGTAGAGAAGTATAGAAATTTAAAGGCGAAAATCGACTGTCGGAACTGATGTATATTAGCTTGCTATCTCAATTTTCACGCTCTTCGGGTTGCCTTTGACCGTAGATTTATGAGAAATTCCAGCGCATTTTATATGCAGCCCTACGTGGCACACCCTTAGAAATGGACTTCTAATCCCTTTTTCGAAAACTTACACCGTACATTCATAATTTTGCCCATGATCTTTTTTTTAATATTATTTATGCGACAAAAATGCAAAAGAACTTTTCTCTTATTGTAGTTGACTGTAATCTCTGTTAATACACATACGACACATTTGGTAATACAGCCTTTGTTTTGTTGAAAATATAAAAAGCTTGAACATTGTTTAGGGTTCCGAGGTATGGGTTCATATTTAACTGCTTTCAAAATATTTATTCGTGTGTGTCTTATTAATTTCACATTACAAATCTACAGGAAAGGAACGAAAAAAGATTAACTTCGAAAAAATAATTACTTTAATAAACTCTATGTAATGCAGGCCTCCAATTTCTTCCATTGCAATACTGAGCAGTATTCCCGGTGACAGTGTTTCGTGGTGATGTGAGCCAGTTGTTGACAGGTGGCTGTCCTTGCCGATGATGTGTGTGATGGCTATGACGGGGCAGGGGAGAGGGGCTCTTTGTGCCGCGGGCGAAGAGCGGGGGCGAAACAAGGGGCGGGGCGCTGCAGGTGGCCGCATTGTCGCCTGGAGGTAATCAGGAGCCGTGCACTGGTACAGTTGGCTCTGAGCCAGCGTTGATGCTGCCTCCACAGCGACCCCAACCGGCAGGTTCTAGATTTCGAGTTCCGATAGACTAGGATTTTCGACACTAGCTAGATTCATAGGTCGAATTCAGTAGCTGTCCGGAGAAGAATTCTGGAAGCCGTCTGATGTGGTCGATGCCTTTCTCCGATTAATATCTGGCAAATGCCAGAGCACTACCCTTAGGGCTCCTTTATGGCCAGCGGTCAGCGCGCGATCTTTCCTTCTTCTCTCTCGCCCTTATCATCTCTCTTTACGAACACTCACACTCACATATATTACCTATGTCGGGAGACTGTCGGAAGCTTATATCTTGTCGCAGCTGGGGTGGTGTCTCGTTGGAGGGGGAGATACCTGGAGAGAGAAATCCTCCGCAAGCCCACGCGTAGGTCGTCGCCGTATCTCACGATTCAGAGGAGGGGTCATCACTACCTCCCGGGATGAAACACTCACTACAATGACGGCACTGGACATTGCAAGATGTTAACGAAATCGGTTATTTTATCATTAGGTTTGGCATTTTGTAAAGTTGTTTTGAACTACATTCGTCACGACTAGAGGATTTTTCTTTTTTAAACTACTGGACCAAACTTGATGACCGTTCATGGGTCCCTGTGGGATATAGCTATTGGCTTCAAATTCTTTTTTTCCTCGAAGAGCTTTGCGGAAACATTAAAATTTACTAATTATATTAAAAATACGTTTTTAGCGCTTAATTATGCACATTTGTAATCATACGGCACAAAACTCTTTTTCCAGTTTATTTTTTTTGTCTGAATACCGAATTGTTAGTATTACTGTACGCTTGTAACGAAACCTTTCCTCAAACCAAGATGTAAGCATTTTGGATCGTTAAAAATTCTTTCTCCTTTAGATTTGATAATTCTTTGTGTACGTTTTCTTGGATCGTGTTTATGCATATTCATGCGAAAGTCCAGTATTTTATTTCTTTCGTAGTAGTTCTCCGAAGTGGATTTCCGCCGAACACCAGATTTCCGCGAGAACTGTTCGGAATCACTGCGACATGATTTCAAGGAATCCACTGTTGGAGTCTGCGGGTCCATTCACTGATCTGTCCACCTCCTCCTCCACTTCGCCATCGCCGCCTCCGCCTTTGCCTTCACCTTCGCCCCCATGACCAACCCCGCCTACCCCCCCGCCCGTTCTCTGCATCCACCACAGCCGCGGCTTCCAAAGCCGCCATCGCTTCCGTCTTCATTCTGCCTTCGCCTCTTGTTTTTGAATTCACTTTCAACTGCGTCTCCCCTTTTATCTTTGCCTCCACATTCTCTTTCATCTTCACCTCAGTCTTCATCTCCGAATCCGCCATCACTTCCGCATCCACCTTCACTTTCGGCTTCGTCTCCATCTTTATCTCCGCATTCGCTTCAGCCTTCATCTTCAAACCCGCCTTCAGCTTTGCATCTGTCTTCGCCTCCGACTCGCATTTTCCGTCCTCACCTCCGCTTCTGTCTTCACTTTCTCCTGTCTTCAACTCTGCCTCTGCCTTCACTTTCGCCTATTTTCACCGCTCTTTCGCCTGTCTTCATTTTCACCTATCTTCACCTCCGTCTCTGTCTTCATTTTCACTAGTCTCCATTTTCACCTTGGCCAACCTCACCTCTCGCCTCCGCCTTCACATCTGCTTTAGCATTCACTTCCGCCTTCACTTCCCCCTGTGAATCCGGAATCCGCCCTTCGCCTTGGCCTCTCGCCTTCATCTCACGCGCGAGTGCGGAGAGCGAAAACCTCTCTGTGAGCCGTGTCGCGGTGAAGCGAAGAAAGCCCAATCGATCGCAGCGGGGATTGAGGGGGAGGGGGAGGACGCCCAGCCGCGGTGGGGGGGGGTGGCGAAGAGGCGTGGGAAAGCGACGAATGCTAAGGGACGGGGGCGATAGGCAGGATGAGGGGCAAGCCTGTTTCCTCCTCCTTCGATTTTACTATAGACATTCTTTCCTAAATTCCACCTTGTGATCGTTCTTGACTGCGTCCAGCAAATCTCGTATTCCTTTTGCCGCATAACAGGACATGTTTTTGTCCACTTTTTGGATTATCATTTGCGGCTGCTCTGAATGTGACCTGTCTCTTGTAGATTTCAGTCAGTTCTGGTGTAGCATGCAAAAAGGTGCCATTTCTGCCAATTTCTTGCACTGTCATCTATTCCATCCTTAAATATGTCTACTTGCGGGAATAAAATAATTCTCTCATATGTTTGAGGTACTGAAAGAGGTTTTCGGCTATTTGTAATTGAAAATATTAGGCCGTTTCTATGTAGTCGAAAGCTAATTTGCGGATTCGATCATATTTTGTTAGTATTTACGGTTGCGAATTAAACCAAACTTAATTTAGAAGCCA